AATAAAGTTAAAAAAAATAAACGAAATTACTCTAATAACATTTTCTTCCTTTTATTTATGCCTTCTCTTTTTGGTTGTTTTCTATCGTAAAGAAAGTGGCCCGGAAAGCTGCAAAAAATACAGATACGCGATTCCGTAATTCAATCGTACATGGTGCCAGAACGTGAAAATGTGGCAGAAGGATATAGCATAAAATTCACCGGACTTTTCAGTTTTTGCATGAACACAATACAGGAATAACAAGATTATTCCTGTAGGCGTGTAACCTTGGTTCGCTTGGTTTTTCCCGCCCTCCTGTTTTTCTCTTCTTTTGCAATTCTCGTGTCCTCATAAACACAGCCTTAAAGCCAGGACTATATTAACCCATGGCCGGGCTGCAACAAACTTTTTTACACCGCTTACCCGATTTTTACGTAACCCCAGTACGCTGGGTTTATAACAGGACACAACAAACAAAATTAAAAGTTTTAGAGATTAGAAGAAATTAAAAAAAGAGATTAGAAAAGAAGAAATTAGAAAGAAAAGATGAGATTAGTCTTCAATGAAAGGGAGTAGAAATTACTTTTGTGTTAATTTGTTATGTACAGTATTTAAAAGTAAACAAAGTGACTCACTTCCCATTGATCCTGTTCATTCACTTCCCATTGATCTCGTTCACTCACTTCCCGTTGATCAAATTCGCAAACGCGATCTCAAATTAAGCCTTAGAGATACACGACAATTAAGTGACGGCCATCTAGGCCAGTGTTCAGCAACCTTTTTCTACTCGAGGCACACCGATGACTCGATATGACTCAACACGGCACACCAAAATGTTATTCTCCTGAAAAGCATATGATATGATACTATTAATAGAATGTCATAATGCCATAAACCTATTATTATTATTATTATTATGTTGAGTTTTGTGAGTTACACTCGGTTGACACCGATGGCTGTGTGCTATGCCGGACCAGAGTGAAGGCATAGTAACTTCAAAACAAGATAAAAATTAAATAAGTGTATCATTGTATGCCTGTATTCAGGAATTTCCTAACAATATGACACGTATTTAATATAGAGGCCTTCTCTAGTTTGATGTATGTGTTTCTATTCAATTTTAATGTTCCCAGGCTTTTGTGTAGTGTGTGTCGTATGACACCTGCAGAGGAGAGAACGACAGGTACAATAAGCACCCTATCCTTCCTTCATAGATGCCTCATTTCCTGGGAGAGTTCTGTGTACTTACTAATTTTTTCAGTGAATGTGTTTTTCAGTGTTTGGAATGAATATGTCTATAATGTATGTGAATTTTATTGTGTTTGTCAATGAGTGTGATGTCTGGTCTGTTGTGGTAAATTCTTTTATCCGTAATTATGGCTCTGTCATAGTACATTTTGTGCGTTTTTTTTTCCAATACTGTCTGTGGAATGTATTTGTGGTATGGTTCGTGGCTGTCTAATAATTTGTGTTTGTTTACAAGCTCTTGGTGTATTATATTTGCTACTTGATTGTGTCTGTGTAAGTAATCTGTCTGTGCCAAGAGCTTGCAACCCGAAGTGATGTGTTGTATAGTTTCTGGCATGATGTGACATTTTCTGCATGTGTCATTTGTGAGTGTTGTATCTTTGAGTATGTGTTTTCTGTAGTTTTTAGTATTTATTACCTGATCCTGTATGGCAATCATGAATCCTTCCGTCTCCCCAAAGAGGCATCCCCGATCTAACCAGCTGTTTGACGCAGTTTTGTCAACAAAATCCTGGGCCAGGTCGTAAGGATGCCTGCCATGGAGAGCCTTTTGAGCCCATGATTGCTTAATGTTGTCTATGCTTTTTATATGTTGTGTCATGTCTGTATGTTGTGAGTGTAAGTTTAATGGTGTGTTATTTTAGTCTGCTAGAGTTACTGCTTTATGTAGCTGTGATGTTTCTCGTTTCTTGTAGAAAAACTCTCGCAGTGACTGTATTTATTTGTAGTGAAGGTTTATAATGTCAATCAGGCCACGTCCGCCATCTTTACGTGGAAGGGTTAATCTTTCTATGGCAGATTTTGGATGATGTTGTTTATGCTTAGTAAGTGTTGTTCTTATTTTCATTTGGAGTTGCTCGAGATCTGTGTTACTCCAATTACAACTGGACTCACTATACTGAGACGGCACATGTGTTTATTGCTTTAACATTATCTTTTTTTATTAGTGAACGAAATACAAGCATAAGAAACACAACAACTGTGATAAAAATATATAAATAAAACTTGAAATTAATAGAATATGTAAAAGTTCACGTCACACCTTTCATCTTGTCACGGAACACTAGTTGCGGAACACTGATCTAGGCAATAGTCAAGTGAGCGATAGTTAAGTGGGAGATTCACAATGTACGACAGTCAAGTGAGTGATGATTAGAAAAGGTCGGCGCCCCGACAGTCGGGGCATGTTTAATAATATAAACCAAAGCATATATATCCAAATAGACCAATAGGCTAGAATTGTATGTAATATATAAACGCAAGCACCTAATCCTACATGACTCAGCGTGCTCGGGAGATTAACCGGTGCTTCTGATTTATTCATTTGTATTGAATAATGAAAAACCCAAGAAGCAGCACGCTGGGTACAATCTAATCCATCCAATACAAGCGAGCCATAGATGGGTTTGACACAGGGCCGGATCATCGCATAGACAAATGAGACAAATGTCTAGGGCCCGGTCAAACTGTCTATTTTTAAAAGATTTGTAAATAAGATAGTTTATTTTTCTGTTGGACAACTGTATAATACTGGTAAAACTGATAAAATATATTATTTAAATATTAACCAAAAAGGTTAAATTAAACAAGTAAAACGGCAAAACCGTATTTGGGACACGACTATGTCTCGGAGACAATACTAAGCAGAATCATTTTGACGCTCAAGGAGGGTCTCGTTCTCATTTTTCAATCTTCTTTGGTATCGCTATTTTTAGGCGCCATCGTTCGAACTTCGCCGGCCACGACCCACGAGGTCGTCCACCATGCATTTTCGATGAAATTAACCTATCCAATTTCGAAATTTCTCTCCGTTGCGTGTCGGCCCGGGTTGAATTTTTGTCGATGCCTAACGAAAATTTCTCGTCTTTGAAAAAAATAATCGTGGCTATTGTATCGTCCGAAATTATTTTTTTTTTTTTTTTTGCACAAACAATATACAGTTTAACCTGATTATAACGTCAAATTTTTACTGGTCCCACGATTTTACTATACTAGACAATGTTAAAAAACCTACTTGTAACGACATAAAACCCTGTTTTAATGTCATATTTGAAGCACTCCCAAATTTACAAAATTAGATTACAAATTTTATTTAAGAAAGAAAATACTACGTGTTCAGTCCTAGGGTCAGAGTCCATTTCCTTGAACGACTGTGGGTGGTACTCTCACCACCTGACTTCGGTTTGCCTGTTTGTAGAGAGAGTCGCCATTTTGTATTTTACTTTCACTCGGTTCTCGGTCCCGAGTACCTACAAGTCAGGTTTTTTTATGCGCGCATGATTTGGGCACTTAATACTCTGTGCCAAATTGCAACTCCTGACATGTACTCCTTCATACCTCTAAGCTGGTAACACAGCAAGCAGTACGATTTTATAAACAAGACATAGTCTTGTTGACAATTATTTTTTTAAGGTAATATTGTTATTTTACAACAACTTTTGTTAGACATTTAATAAAACAAATTTCAATATTTTAAATTTATAAACAAACTGTTCAAACTTTTCTAGAAAAACTAAAATTTATTGTTGTGTATTAAATATTTTTTATTAATAAAAATTTAAGATTTGTTTTAGTTTTTCACATTATTTAGTTTTGTTTTATTTATTGTTTTATATTTTTTGTGTGCTCTATTTCTTGTGAGCGAGGGGGCCCGGTAAGAAGAAAATGTCTAGGGCCCCAAAGTGAGTTAATCCGGCCCTGGTTTGACAGTTTTAAGTTTTAATATCTAAACGCTGAGTTTTTGGGTTATTGGAATATTGGAAGTTGGGAGCGTTCGCCCCCCCCCCCGAATCCACGCCTGGAAGAAAGTAACAATGAGGAATTGCCGTCATCTCCTGAAAAAATGACTATTGTATCAGGCACAAGTGATGCAGTCAGACACTTCTTAATTCAAGCAGATCTAAATGATTTAGTCCATGACTTGAAGTTAAGTAAACAACAGACTGTAATGCTGGTTTCCAGCTCACAAGAATACAATCTTCTCCAAAGTACAAACATTACTGAATTTAGGCATAGGGAAGAAAGATTTTTGTTATCTTTTTGCAACTGACAATATGTGGACTTTCTGCAACAACATTGGTGGCTTAATGAAAGCTGTGGACGTCAAATATTCTTCGCGTCGTTTGTCCAGTCCTGTGGATCAATATAATCCACAGAACTGGACAAACAACGCGAAGGAAAGTGAATGATTAGTATTAGAGACAAGAAAGACAGCCACCACAAAAGAAGAAAATAATTTGTTTATATGCAAGATTTTATTAATTCTTTTGTAGAATAAGTATCATATAATAATACTTTCGTGAATATTGTGTTACATACCTCATTTATGAATTTTAATATTATATACTTTATTCCTATATACTGTGTTTCTGAACGGATTCTTCAACTTGGCAGGTAGAAGCATAACGTGTTATCGTCTTTTTCTACGATTTGTTGTTTTGACTATTCTCCAGTTGTTACTTTTTCAGTAACGTACTTTGTAATTTTGTTATTTGTTACCTTTATTTTTATTTTTAAATAATAATTATTTTACTGTTTTTTCTTCAAAATAACAAGTTACATAAGTCGCCTCTGATTTCTGATATTAAACGTGGTCATTCCACTACTTTTCATACCGTTATCAATTATCAAGGATTTTTATTATTTATATTTTATATTGCGTGTATAAACATAACACGTTTTAAATTATATATTCGATCAAAAGTACAAAAAATATGCAGTTGCCGAGAAATGTGTCGAGTTTAGAATATCGTTAAATTAAGTAACAGCCAGTAAAGTTGACGCTAGGGAATTTCAGAGATGTGATATATTGCTAGGAAAAGCGGAATGACAAGACACACAACGTTGTCTCCTCTTCCATAAAAGGGAATTTTACTTCTTTCGAAGGGGAATTTCTTTGGAAAAATACTTTTAAAGGATATACAGATTAATAATTCGGGTAAGCATTATAATTATGATACTATTATCGATTATTTTATATATAGATAACATATAATAACGCGATATACTTAAATTTATATGTTATCACTTATATAATTCAGGGACGGATTAACCATTAGGATGAGTTAAGTAGACTTAAATCTAGAGGCTTGGTAGGGAGGAAACTAGCAGCAAAAACAAGAATATAAAACTATTTCTAACATAACTTAATGCCATTTTATTCTATCAATAAAAATAAGGACAGGGAGCAAGGTCAGAAAGCTGCTTTCTAACAGTTCAGCAAGGACGGAAGATAATTCAATGCTGATAATATTCAAAACTAAACAAACTAATTAAATTTCGTAAGTAAAATTACAATACAAAATTGTTTTTAAATACGAACGTTTTCTTATTGATATATGTTAAGACTGGAAGGGAATTAATTATTATAAACTGCTACTCGAAATGTATTATTAATGTGTAGTAGTGTGAAATATGAGAAGTGAAATGTTATTCTGAATATCGAATAGACTTTCGTTAATAGAATGACGTATAAAATTTTCAAACTGTGTGTGAATTGCAAACAAACTATATATTTTCGATGTAAATTAATTCTAGAAAAAGAAAAGATGAAATGTGAAATACGCGAAATTGGATTTCACGTGTTATTATCAAACAGGGCGTATATTGTATGCTCCTTTATAAATCATTCTGTTTTTAATAGCAAGATAAAAATTACCTTTATATTTGACTAGCCTTAAAATATTTTACCGTAATATTTTCAAAACTGAGAATTTATTTCGTAAACATATTTGCCAATCTTTAGAATAGGGAATAGCTGGTACGTTGGTAGATATAAAGTGATTTTTAAATAAAAACGCTGACAACATAAAATACGAAAAAATTCTTTATTAACATTGATATTGAACAATGCTTATATTAAATATTGTTAAAAAATATATAAAATATGTTTAATAAACAAAATTTAATGTTATATCTGCGTATGATATAAAGCTATTGTTATAAACACTGTCAAGAGTGGCAATAGCTTCGTATTCTTTAAGATCAAAATTTAAAAAAGGTCAAGTATTTTATGAGATACATCACAAATCTGCACCTAGATTTATTATATATCTTCATATTGCATGATGAATGCCTCTCGTTATATGCCTTTATAAGACGTTTTGCTTTGTTAGTAATTTCATATGTTATAGTGTGCTCGTGATATTTGCTATCAGTTCGTTTATTGATTTTCACCACAATTTATCTTATCTGCCATTTAAAGTTATCATATTTGAGTGCCTTTACAACAACAACTAGTGCCTTTAGGTGATATTTCATCCATTTATTGTATTTCAAACAGTAATTGCGAATTGCGAAAACTGAGTAAACATAGCCTAATAAAAAAAATTCCCAAATTCTAACAGCTACTCCAGAAAATCACAAACTAGAGGCGTTAGAAACTTTTCATACGTATACTAACATACATGTATAAAAATATTAATCTTGATTCTTTCCCATTGAACGAATCTGAGAATGTCGTTCTAGTTCGTTCGTAATAAAATATATACAATGTCTTTGGCATACATATTTGGCACTAGACTCGTCAAATAAAGTGTTTATGTGGTGATATGGAATTCTTTACAAACATTGACAAAAGGGAAAAGCAGCCTGTCCACTGGTGGAGCATATAAAACACTAATGGTTGGAAATGCAGGATGATTTACTCAGGATTGAACACTTACATGGAATATCTCCGCCTAAAATGAAAAGATGAGCATGAAACACGAACGGAACGATTCTCTACTTTATGACGATTTAGTCGACCAAGGTGTGTTTTACATGTTATTCAGATGTGACTGTGCAGTCACGAGATACTGAACAAAGAAGTGTTCAGTCTCGATTGAATCACCCTATAATTATTATTTTAAAAGGTAATGGCCTTAACTGTTAATGGTTTATTTAAAAGATCAACTTTGATGTAGATATAGTTCTTAAATCCGTCTTTGTATAAGCAAACGAAAATATGATACTGGTTAGTGAGAGGTAATATGACCTTTACAAAAGTATCCTACCGTGGGACATTTTTATGCTAAGTTGACCATGAACAGTAATCAATGTTAATAACCACAAAAACAATGTGCATTAGGTCTTTAATAAGTCATTTAATACCGTTATGAAGTGTATTATACAGAATACGAAGTTGTGTACAGTCAAGACCAGCGCAAAAGTATCTAACAGCCTAACAGAAAATTAGGCGCCCCATGTACGTACCTGTACAGTACATTGTCCATGTAGCTTGTATATGTGTATCATCATACTGACACAAGCATCGCAGATTCACACATGTGGATATTTAGGGAAAAGTTGGTCAATGACGCTCAGAATGCAATCCCACTCACTTAGAGCCTGTACACACTAGGCGTTTTTCAACGCGCGTTTTAAAGAACCAAGAGTTCTATGTAGGCGTACACACTCAAACGCGCGCTTTTGGCCAAGCGCGCGTTTATAGATTTTTGTTAAAACGCGCGTTTTTCGGGCGTTAGCCGAGCGCTTTGAGATATATGTGCTGCCATGTTACTGTACATTCGATCGCGCGTTTTGCGGACGTCAGCCGAGCGCTTTGACATATATGTGCTGAAATGGAGAACGATCATTTCGATACTTATCTATTTATTGATGAAATCTAAAATAGACCAACCATCGTCAAAGGATTTTATAGATATTTTAAGAATTAAAAAACTTGAATTTATTTTGTCTTAGTTTTGGATACAACGTCGCAAACATTTCATGCGTCAGTCTATCTCGTAATATTGGGTGGGTGCACCCAAAATTCTCTTTGCCTCTGCCATCGTCTTTTATAGCGACGATAGAGGAGCCACATACAAGCAATCACTTCCACATCCATTTCCAAACCGAGCCAGTGCGCACGCTCCGCTAAACGCTCGTCGAACGCCGAGCTAACGCGCGTTAGAAAACGCCTAGTGTGTACACAGCCTTAGGTATCTCGAAACAGAATGGAATTGTGAATATCTGATTGTTGCGATCGGATAGGAAAAGTGGTGGTCGCCATCAAAGGCAGTTTTTCTCTCATTCCTTATGTTGTTTTTGATGTGATCTCTTAGAAAACTTTGCAAATTTCAACTGAGGATAAGTAGTGTATATTTATTTTCAATTGTTAATTTTGATCATTATATAAACTACATATATTTAGGTTAATATTCCAGCTTTTCGTTTCATTTATAATATGCTGTTAAGCCAACAAAACAGCATCAGAATCCAATATGGCGATCAAGGGTAATGATGCTGGCGTAAGTTAAGTACAACAACCAGTGCCTTTAGGTGATATTTCACCCATTTCTTGTATTTCAAACAGTACTAAATGGCGAAAATTGAGTAAACATAGTTAAAAAAATTCACAAATTCTAACAGCTACTCCAGAAAACTACAAACTAAAGCGAAAATCCAAGATCCAGACAAAAATGCAAAAATTGGTCACACAAAAACTACAGAGGTGTAGAAACACCAAATAATTAAAAATGTGATTATTGTTGTAAGTAAATCTTTAAGTGAAATTATGAGTGCAATGCCTAACCACTGAGCCGTAATACCAAACATGGTCGAGCATTCTCGCTCTGTGGATAGCATTGAAAATTAATAAAAAAATGTTTTAAATAACTTGTATGTAAAGTAAATAAAACAATTGTAAGGAACACTTTCAACTCTTTTTTGTTTATGAGTTAGGCTGTTACGAATTGGCAATCGCTAACGTTCGTCTAATGATAAAACCGGCCCTGTGTAGTTAGTTATACAATAAGTTGAGGTACATCTGTACTTATCACCTGAATTATCACTAGGAATTAGATGTAATAGTTCCTAATTACTAAATGGTGAAAATGAGTTTTAAAATTCGTTAACAATAAATAACCACACAAAATATACTTCCGAGTTATGTTTTATTATTTGCATTATTAGTTACCTATCCTTTATATTTTCTCAAACAAAACTATTTTGTCTCTTTTTAGAATTTACCAAAACATGGACTTCTTAACAACGAATTTTTCAACGTTGATTATAGTCTTCTTTATAACTTGGGTGATTATCTGGTTAGCAAAGAGAAAAAGCAAGCAGACACTCTTCACAAAATATGGAATCCCGGGACCTAAACCTCACATCTTATCCGGCAATTTGTTCGAATTCAATGGAGAAGGCAATCCTAACGAAGTCGTCACGTCGTGGCTCAAAAAGTATGGTAAAATAGTAGGATATTACAAAGGTGACGACCCCCAAATGCTCATTAATGACTTCAACATAATAAAGCAATTATTCGTTAAAGAATCGCGCATTTTTATCAATCGACCCAAAATGGTCCTCGATGTCTGGCCTCTGAACGAGACTTTGTTGGATTTAAGGAATGAAACTTGGAAAAGAGTCAGATCGGTCTTGACACCTACGTTCAGTGCCATAAAAATTAAACAAATGACCGAAATCATGAACAGTAAAGTAGATAAACTGGTAAAGTTGATAGGTAAATCCAGCGATGCCCATCGAACCTTCGATATGTACACGCGTGTACAAGGTTTAACGTTAGATGTCATAGGACATTGCGCTTTGGCCATGAATACTAACTGTCAAGACGACGACGACGATCCTCTTCTAGTTTCTGTTCGTGACTTTTTTAAATATTCTAATAACATAGCCGTTCTTATGGTGATATTATTTCCACCTTTAAAACTCATATTACAATTTATAAACAATTATTTAACCTCCGGAAGAATGACCTCTCTGACTGTAAAAAACGTTAAGAAAGTCATTAATTATCGTAGGAAACATACAGAAAAGAAATCGCTCGATCTTCTACAACTCATGATCGATTCGTGTGACAATAAACGATCGCCATCCAACAAGTATTTAACCGATAACGAAATGATAGCTAACGCTTACGTTTTTCTTTTAGCAGGATATGAAACTACAGCTACGAGTTTAGCTTTAATATTCTATCTTCTAGCCACGCATCAGGATATTCAGGAGCGTCTTTACGAAGCAGTAGCTCATCTAAAAGATAAACCACACCCTTCCTACGATGACATACAGAATATACAATATTTGGATCAGGTTTTTAACGAATGTTTACGTTATTACCCACCAGTAACCGGATTCATAAGTAGGCAATGCAGTGCAGAATATAAAATGGATGAATTGATCATCCCGAAAGGAGTCACAGTGACAGCTCCTATTTGGAACATTCAACACGATCCTCGTTACTGGAAAAATCCTTGGAAACTTGATCCCGATAGATTTGCTCCAGAGAACAAACAGGATTTCAATCCTTCGACATTTTTCCCATTTGGTCTAGGTCCTAGAATATGCATAGGTATGCGATTTGCTCAGATTGAAGTCAAACTAGCAATGGCCAGAGTTATACTTAACTATAAACTGCTTACTTGTGAAGAGACTGAAATTCCTCTACAACTAACCTGTCCTACTGTAATTATAAACCCCAAAAATGGCATCGTCTTAAAGGCTGAAAGACGTAAACCTTAATAAAGTTACTGTTTGAGTGAAATGGGCAATAAAAATTTAGTACATATATTATTATTGTTGTAACTTTCTGCTAATTTAATCTATAAATTTTTACTGATTTTGACTTATGTAATTTAATAATAAAATAAAATAATGTTTACAAATTTCAAATGCTTCAAACAATTTCTTCTCATTTATTCTGATGAACACCATACAAATCAAAATTTTCTGTTTCAGGAAAAAAAATCTCAATTTACATTATTAACCAATTAATAATAATACTTTTATAAAAACTATTGAAAATATAATCGCTGTAATTTTTCCAATCGTTTCAATAGAATGTACATCAGAAATACATATACACAAATCTTTAAAAGCTATATATATTATCTGTTACCAAGTTTATATAATACAGATAAAAATTTTTATGGCAATAAAATATTTTTAATTCTTGCTGGCACAAATTAACATAAGAAAAACAAGGATAAATGTCTGTGTGGTGTGTGTGTGTATGTGTTTGTGTTTAAAAAAACTTTCTTGAAATTTTAAAATGCTTAATCTAGCAAAGGATGTCACCATTTAAAATGATTATACATTAATCAGGATACATTTAATAATTTTTTGAATTAGTCGTTTAACTTGTAAGTTTAGAGATTACATAACAAGAAAGAATTTCATTAAAAATTACCACGGGTTTTTCTTTATTATTATTATTATTATTATTATTATTATAGTTTAGAACTAAAAGGCATCAATGTTTTTGGTTTAATTTATATTGAACTTAACTTCCCAAACAAATTTATTGTACATAATTCCATTGATGATAATATACATTTGCTAGAATTTCTGATAATTTGATGTATAAAGAGAGAAGATAAAAATTTTGAGACATCAATTTCTTTATATTTTTTTTTTTAAGGTGAAACATCTCTACACTTAACAACTTTTGATTGACTTTTTTACAACAGAATAAACAATTTATGATAGTCCAAATTAATAAGAAACTAAATACGATATTGAAAAGAATAACACTGATTAAATAATAAATCTGTCGATAAACTTTGATAGTCCAATTTCCTGCATTGCAGCCTACCTAGTAAACTGAGCAGATTCCATTTCAATCAATTTCAGAATATACAATGCACTTATGTGTATGACACCACAATCCTATCATCAAGTGACCAGACTTCGTATTTCTTTGTGTAAGTGGCATAAAAAGTCTACATACGATGCACTTCCATCAGAACTTCTGTCTTCTACCAAAAACTGTCTGAAGAGAACTTCTAACTTGTCACCTTGTCGCACAATAATGAGCTGTGAAGCAGAAGTAGATAAATTCATTAAAATTAAATTATATAACATGATATTCTTCATACAATTAAGTAATTAAATAGTTAAAATGCAAAAGATTACTTACTCTCATATACCTCTGTCTTTCGTTTCTAACTTGCTCTATAATACCCCGTATTCGTTTAGATAGAGGCGTATTCAGTTCCAATAACAATGTCTGTAAGAAAAGATGTTAAAATTTATTTTCCTAATATAAATTAATATTTAATCATTTTAAAATGATTTACCTGTTCANTAACATAAGAAAAACAAGGATAAATGTCTGTGTGGTGTGTGTGTGTATGTGTTTGTGTTTAAAAAAACTTTCTTGAAATTTTAAAATGCTTAATCTAGCAAAGGATGTCACCATTTAAAATGATTATACATTAATCAGGATACATTTAATAATTTTTTGAATTAGTCGTTTAACTTGTAAGTTTAGAGATTACATAACAAGAAAGAATTTCATTAAAAATTACCACGGGTTTTTCTTTATTATTATTATTATTATTATAGTTTAGAACTAAAAGGCATCAATGTTTTTGGTTTAATTTATATTGAACTTAACTTCCCAAACAAATTTATTGTACATAATTCCATTGATGATAATATACATTTGCTAGAATTTCTGATAATTTGATGTATAAAGAGAGAAGATAAAAATTTTGAGACATCAATTTCTTTATATTTTTTTTTTTAAGGTGAAACATCTCTACACTTAACAACTTTTGATTGACTTTTTTACAACAGAATAAACAATTTATGATAGTCCAAATTAATAAGAAACTAAATACGATATTGAAAAGAATAACACTGATTAAATAATAAATCTGTCGATAAACTTTGATAGTCCAATTTCCTGCATTGCAGCCTACCTAGTAAACTGAGCAGATTCCATTTCAATCAATTTCAGAATATACAATGCACTTATGTGTATGACACCACAATCCTATCATCAAGTGACCAGACTTCGTATTTCTTTGTGTAAGTGGCATAAAAAGTCTACATACGATGCACTTCCATCAGAACTTCTGTCTTCTACCAAAAACTGTCTGAAGAGAACTTCTAACTTGTCACCTTGTCGCACAATAATGAGCTGTGAAGCAGAAGTAGATAAATTCATTAAAATTAAATTATATAACATGATATTCTTCATACAATTAAGTAATTAAATAGTTAAAATGCAAAAGATTACTTACTCTCATATACCTCTGTCTTTCGTTTCTAACTTGCTCTATAATACCCCGTATTCGTTTAGATAGAGGCGTATTCAGTTCCAATAACAATGTCTGTAAGAAAAGATGTTAAAATTTATTTTCCTAATATAAATTAATATTTAATCATTTTATAGAATTAATTTTACCTTGTCAATATCTATCCTTGCTGCAGCCTGAACTCCAAAAACATCTTGAATCCATTCAGGATTTACAGAATGTCCAATCCATAAGAATAAATATATACCATTTTCTAGTAAATAAAATATAAATTAAAGTATAAATATATTTTAAAAATTATCATTATTTTATAAATAAAAACATTCAATTATAGACCATCACCATTAAAATTCATATTTTAAAATATAACTTGGAAAATAAAAAAATGAATTTATTTAATAAATAATTTCATATCAATGTTTGACTTTTACAGTTAATTTTCAATTATATGTAAGAGAGTCAAAAATAAACCAACTTTTTACAAAGTTTATTTTACAACACAAAAATAATTCTTGCACCACACTATTTGAAAGTAAGATTCTGCACTTACAAACTTCTGCCTGAAACTATATCACTTGCCAAAGCAGTCTTGGAAGCCATTTTTTTGTGAAGCCTTTAATGGTTCTTGCTACTTCAGCTTCCATTCTGCTGCTTGTTGATATCTCTTCAACCTCACTTTTATTTTATAGTCTCTGGATGCAAAATCAAGGAAATAAGCAATTGGGCAAATATCCAACTAAGGGTACTATTACACTCTTCTTAGTCAAATATTTGTCAATCAGAAATGACCAACAGAATTAAAGATGAAGCTACAGAAATATAGCCCTTAAAGACATCACACAAAATAGCTTTCAATATTACTTAGAAATACTAGCATTCATATTTTACAAAGAGTATGGTATGAGTACAGGGTGATTCAAAAGTCACAGAAATTTTAGAAAATTAATAACTTGCAAACTGTTTACAGTAAGATGATGTGGTTTCCACAGAAATGCTTAGAAAGAAACAGGATTTTTTTCATGTGTAATAAAAGTTTTAGTACCAAAATAGTTGATGGTACTTGATAAGATTACTTATCAAATATCATCTATGGCAAGAAATGTAACTATTTTGATTCTAAAATTTTTGTTACACTAAAAAATCCCATTTCTTTCTAAGCATTTCTGTGGAAACCACATCATCTTACTGTAAACAGTTTGCAAGTTATTAATTTTCTAAAACTTATGTGACTTTTGAATCACCCTGTATATAACTGCAGAAGAAATTTATTTTGAAGGTTGTCATATTTAAATACTATGTTTGTAATAAAAGTTATATAAAAAATTTTATTCTTTTCTTTAATTAATTATAAATTTCTGAACATGGAATAAATAAATTTTGAAAATAAGGCTAATTGAGTATTATGATTTCTATAAAATAATGCTGTTATAAATATCAATATTAAATTATTATTATTATTATTATTATTTTGAATAAATTCCATAAATTTCAAAGATTCATAAAGTTTTCATGTATAGTTATTAGTTTTATTAATAAACAAATTACAAATTCTCACTAAACTTTTTTCCACTTATACATCCTACCGAAGAATGATTACTGACTTTTAAAAAATTAGTTTGTTTGATAATAAAATGAACAGGTAACATCTGCCTCACTAAAGCAATGTTCTTCCCCACTCCTCCTCAAGAATGAATACCAGAATGATATAACAAATGATATGATCTTTGATTTCTTGCAGATCTACAGCAAAATGATACTTTAATTTAAAAATGAATACATTTTTATAAGATTTTATGGTTGATGCAATTTCCATAATTGCTACCATATATGTATTTATATATTCTCAACTAAAAAAAAGAGAGAGTACAGGTCAGGTATGTAAACTTCTTTTTGGTTTCTCACTGAAAATGAAACTTTCAGATGCCATCTTTGGTTTACTTGCTTGAACTCAAGCTCTCTCTGCATTTATCTTAATTTTAAGGTATTCAANAAAGAATAAAATTTTTTATATAACTTTTATTACAAACATAGTATTTAAATATGACAACCTTCAAAATAAATTTCTTCTGCAGTTATATACAGGGTGATTCAAAAGTCACATAAGTTTTAGAAAATTAATAACTTGCAAACTGTTTACAGTAAGATGATGTGGTTTCCACAGAAATGCTTAGAAAGAAACAGGATTTTTTTCATGTGTAATAAAAGTTTTAGTACCAAAATAGTTGATGGTACTTGATAAGATTACTTATCAAATATCATCTATGGCAAGAAATGTAACTATTTTGATTCTAAAATTTTTGTTACACTAAAAAATCCCATTTCTTTCTAAGCATTTCTGTGGAAACCACATCATCTTACTGTAAACAGTTTGCAAGTTATTAATTTTCTAAAACTTATGTGACTTTTGAATCACCCTGTATATAACTGCAGAAGAAATTTATTTTGAAGGTTGTCATATTTAAATACTATGTTTGTAATAAAAGTTATATAAAAAATTTTATTCTTTTCTTTAATTAATTATAAATTTCTGAACATGGAATAAATAAATTTTGAAAATAAGGCTAATTGAGTATTATGATTTCTATAAAATAATGCTGTTATAAATATCAATATTAAATTATTATTATTATTATTATTATTTTGAATAAATTCCATAAATTTCAAAGATTCATAAAGTTTTCATGTATAGTTATTAGTTTTATTAATAAACAAATTACAAATTCTCACTAAACTTTTTTCCACTTATACATCCTACCGAAGAATGATTACTGACTTTTAAAAAATTAGTTTGTTTGATAATAAAATGAACAGGTAACATCTGCCTCACTAAAGCAATGTTCTTCCCCACTCCTCCTCAAGAATGAATACCAGAATGATATAACAAATGATATGATCTTTGATTTCTTGCAGATCTACAGCAAAATGATACTTTAATTTAAAAATGAATACATTTTTATAAGATTTTATGGTTGATGCAATTTCCATAATTGCTACCATATATGTATTTATATATTCTCAACTAAAAAAAAGAGAGAGTACAGGTCAGGTATGTAAACTTCTTTTTGGTTTCTCACTGAAAATGAAACTTTCAGATGCCATCTTTGGTTTACTTGCTTGAACTCAAGCTCTCTCTGCATTTATCTTAATCCTAAGGTATTCAAGATTTTCAGTAAAAGATGTCTATGCGTTGGACCTTCCTGCTGTTTTAAGACCAAAATGAACTTAGATCAGAAATACATATAACAAAGAGTGTAAATCCAAATGGAAACAGAAAATATAAAAATATTTTTTGAAGTTTGTCAAAATTAAACAAAATCAAATAACGTAAATTTCTTTTTATACGATGAAAGATTTTCTATTAAAATATAACCAATAGAACTCTCTCATAATGACATTCTCTAGTCATGAGGTCCTACCTTAATTGTAAAAATGTCAAAGACTCTTTGCTGACACATGTATAAACTGGAAAAGTTTAAGTATAAATTGTAAGATTTAAAATACAGTAGAACCTCGATTATCCAGACTAATTGGGAGATGAAGGTGTCTGGATAAGGAAAAATCCAGATAATCGAAACAAATACTTTAATTTGTCTTTTAAATGATAATACAACACATTTTCTTTTTGATGACATATCGGTAATATTAAAAGTAAATACAGTATTTAAATCGTGATCAAATTTTCAAGAAACAAATGTTCATATTGAATTTGGACTACTACTGACCAGCGCTGACAGACTACCTATTGTTTAAAAGGCCCTCTGGTGGCGCAAGAAGACGGATTTTATAAAATAAAAAGCAGTTGAAACTGCATTTTTATGAATAAAAATTTGACAAACTATTTATCGTTTTATGACGAGTAAAATTTTTTCGTCGCGTTCACGGCTTTTAAGTAATGCATAAACCTTCGAGGCGCGAGGCCCTTCGGACCGCGAGGCATAGGCGGTGGCCCACGTCGTCCATGCCTTACGCCGCCCTTGGTCATAGAAATGATGTAATTTGAATATAAATTATTTATAAATACGTATGTCAAGTTATATTTTTATTACTACGTAAAATATATTTAAGAGTTTACGACCACTGTGCTGGGTGAGACGTTGTTGAAACAAAAAAAGTTATGCATTCCATCACATACATAAACAGTGTCGTAATTCGCCAAGTGCAAATCAGCTAATTCGTAAAATTTTTGTTTATTTTGAACAATCCGGATAATCGAAAATCTGGATAATGGAGGTTCTACTGTATATATTTGTGATCTACTTTTAACATATTTCACTTCATTGTTCATTGTTCTTGTTGATTGTGTTAAAAGTAGTTTATGTTTGGCATTTCGCTAGACCTAAATTCATTATAAGTAAACTAAATAACAATAGATTTCATTTCATTCCTAATGCTTTTTTATATCAGTGTTTTCAATTCAGTACTTGTTTAAATCTGTATTTCTTTGACAAGTTCTAAATTAATAACATAAGTATATAACATAGCTTTCCCATTCATATCTCACAAGGTTCTGCCTTAGGCAAAACTTTTTTTAAAAAATTTGATGGCAAAATAATTCCAAAATAACTGACTTTTACAAGTATCTACCTTAAAGAGAATCCGTCTCTTCCAATTTTAATATATTTCAGATAACTTTCAAACTTGCCAACAATAAAAACAATGTAAAATACTAATCAAAATAAAAATATTTCATGTTATTCTACATTCTACATTTTTAGTGTCTTAAATATTTTATTATATAGGATATTCTACTATGACATTAAGTTAACATTTTTATTTACCTAACAAATAGGCACCATTATCCTTGACTTTTTCAACTGAGCATCTCAGTGCAATTGGAAGTTCTTCAGAATCAACATCAACATCATGCTAGAAAAGGAAACAGATTTATATTTTCATAAAACCATGCAAGCATACAAAAGTCATTCAAAAAGTTTGAGACTGGTCTAGATTTTTAAAAATCAATTATCAGATGCATTGGCACTCATGACATATTTCAATGTCATTACTCCAGATGCATCAGGGCTTATTGTAACAAGAATACATCTTTTCATTCAACTTCCACAGGCTGCCAAATAAAGTACTATTGCACATATCTGACATGGGTCTGAAGGATAAACAGTGAATAGAAATTAAATTCTTTGTTATAATGGGAAAATCCTCAACAGAACCCTTCAATAAGATTGAAGAAACATTTAAGGAACATGCTTTATCGTAGGCAAGGATGCTTAGTGGCATAAGAAATTTCATAATTGATAGAAGACAGTTGAAGATTGAGTCATGTGTCAACAGTGAAAGACAAATCTGCAAATTAACTAATACGATTGTGATCTGTTATAAGTCACGATTTCATTGTTTTGATCCAACAATGAAAATGGAGTATACTCTGTGGAAGAATTCCAGAAAGTTAAGTATCTGTATTTTTTTTTTTTTTAAAAAGGGCTTCACCTATGATCACTGTCTTTCAAGAAATACAGTAAAGCTTTTATTGAAGAGAATATTCAGGGATCTTGAAGAATCAAACAAAGGAAAATTGTAAAGCAGCATCTTAAGTAGGTACAAAATGGTTGGATTCTCCATCATGATAACAATGATTGCTCAGCAAACCATTATTTATCTAAACAAGCTAATGGCCATCCTTCCTACATTTCGTGCTTTTTTCCCTCTTTTTAGAAGTTAAACACAGCAGTGCAGATGGAAATTCAACAGTAAAGAGGAGTAAAACATCATAATGGGTATACCAAGCAGTATGTTCAAAAGACAGCTTTACAAAGAATTACGAAAACTGGATTTCAAGATGGAACAAGTTTATTGAGTTGAAGGGAGAATATTTTAAAGGATAAATAAAGCCATTTTTGTTTGTGGTTATTATATTGTCTCCGTTGTCATCAGTCTCAAAACTTTTTGAATGATTTCTGTAAGTATACAAATAAAAAAAAAAATCTCTTTTTTAATTATGAGAAGTTATTTTAAAATTTATTTCAAAAAATTCCTCATTAAATGTCTGAGGATTTTTGATTATTTTATGGTCATTAAAAAGCTTTTTTTGTACTAAATCAATTGATTTAAGAATATTGTATTTGTTAGAACAATAATGAGGCAGTCCTTTAACTTATAATTAAACTTTATTCTAATCTAAGATTTATATGCACTTCTTCTCATATCCATAACTTGGTACATGACTGAACAACGGTTTCTTTCTGCCTCAACCTGTGTTACACAGGATGTTGCCAGTTCATACACAATTTGCTATATTGACACTTGCTCTAGTTTAATATTTTCCAACAGTATTTCTGTATGTATATATATATTAGGTTGTTTGGAAAGTAAGTTCGTTTTTTTTACCACTAGACGGATTAGTCGTATTTTTCCCACCATTTTCATTCTAAACCATATCATCATTATATATTTTGACAGCTAGAATTTTAAGGCTTATTTGTAAAAAATTTTGTTTGATTCTGTGCTATTGTTTATTTTTTGTGTCCCATCAAATATGGAAGATTGAAAGCAGAATTTTCGGCATATTTTGCTCTTTTATTATCAAAAAGGTATGAATACTGTTCAAGCGAGAAAAAAATTGTATGATGTGTATGGAAAAGATGTATTGACAGAATGACAGTGCCAAAACTGGTTTACAAAATTTTGTTCTGGCAATTTCAATATTGAAGATGCATTATGTTCTGGATGTCCAGTTGAAGCCAATGAAAACAAAATAAAGGTACTGATTGAAGCAAACTACCGAATAATAACACGTGAAATCACTAAGAGATTAAATTTGTCAAATTGAACTATTTATTAAAATAATAAATTCTAAAAACATTTTTTTTAAATAATAAATTCTAAAAAATTTCTCTCTAAAAAAAATCCTTTAAGAAATAAGTGAAATTCACTTTTTTAAATCCAATTTCAATAGAATTAAAAACAGAGATGGACTAGAAACTCATTTAGTATTTCTCACTTCATTTTTCTTTTTCCTTTTTTATCCATATATATTTCGCTTATCAGCCTCATCAGTGGACGTTCATGATAAGCGAAATATATATAGATAAAAAAGGAAAAAGAAAAATAAAGTGAGAAATATTAAATGAGTTTCTAGTCCATCTCTGTTTTTAATTCTATCGAAATTGGATTTAAAAAAGTGAATTTCACTTATTTCTTAAAGGATTTTTTTTAGAGAGAAATTTTTTTAGAATTTATTATTTTAATATTTAGAATAACTGATCCCATTGTTTTATTAATTTATGCACTGTTTATGATTACTTGAAACTAATTGGTTTCGTTTCAAAACTTGATATATGGGTTCCACATGTTCTGAAAGAGAGATGCTCTCTTTGATGGAATTTTAAAGAAATTTTTTTTTTTTGGAACTTTTACCAGACAATTTAACAATTGATTCAAAAGTGTACTGCCATCTAGTAAACAAATTGAGTAATATCATCAAACAGAAAATGCAGCCAGAATTGATCAACAAAACAGGTATAGTGTTTTACCACGATAATGTCAAATTTCACACAAGTTTGGTAACTCATCAGAAACTGTTATAACTTAGATGGACATGCTGTCACAGTAACCATATACTCCAGATCGAGCACACTCAGATTATTACTTGTTCCGGTCTACACAAATTTTTTTTAACTGTAAGACATTTACTTGAAATGACAATGTCAAAAATCACTTGGATCAGTTTTTTGTAAGCAACAATCAAAACTTTTATGAATGTGAAATCATGCTACTACCAGAAACGATGACAACA